CATTCAATTGATATCCTTATTCATAACATTTGAAGTTTTAAACATTATCTGACTACATACCTGCCCCCTTGTATTGACACAATGTACAACGTGTGTCCATGGGTATGTTACTACTCAATGTCAGTACACATCAAGATATTAAATATCAGCAGACTCCCACGAGGATTAAAATGAAACGAATACATATCAAAACTGCTGTTTTAAAAAATTGAATGATGATCAGAAACTACATTTTACACTCGAAGTAACCCAGATAGTTAACTTTAGACGTTTTAGAAAATCCAATACAATTATCAGGTAGTGCGTGAACATGTGAATAGACAGAAAATAAAATATATACGATAGCGTCGACAAGAACAAACAAGCCAAGCTCATACCTGAAATATTTATCATTAATGAATTTTTTGTGAAACACAGGCATTTTTCTCGGAAATAGAACTATAAATGTAACTCAATTTTGATGAAAATGCTATTGATCTAATCTTACCAGCTGAACAAGTAATATTATTAGATACACTAACAATGAATATTAGCTATGAATTGATAAAATTGGAAGGTAGTTACTTTAGATCGTCCACGTAGTTATTTTCAGGGATGATTTAATGGTGTTTAAATATCAAAAACGCAATTTTAGATTCATTGAAGCTTTTAAATAAATAGCGACAGTAAAATACTGAAATATATTACAGTGATTAAAAAGTGAAGTAACGTGAATGTATGCTGCTTTCAGACAATTTCCCTGCCAGGCGGATTGTAATAATTGGATGTTGGATTTATTTATGGAGATCATTTGAATATATGGCTATTCTTATTGAACAGAAGGGTATACACCCAATATCTATCTGGCAGTTTTATTAGCCAGTAGCATTATCTTCACTGCAGAAAACTCCTTCTAATATCAACGATTTTATAGAGAGTTCTGTTAACTTATCAATAGACTCCAGCATAAAGAAGCTTACATAAACACTAAATGATTCTACATGAACAATATTGATTTAATCTCACTTCTAGGATATTTCAAATTCCTGAGTCTGTTGTTCTCAAAATATCGTTATATACAGCGTAATAGGATTTTCTTAAAATTTCACTTCACGCTGTGAAAGTTGGGAAAACCAATACGAAACACTTAGTACTTTACATAGAAATATGTTTCCAGGTTTAAAACTTTCAGGGGTTTCAGTTGATATTTTCAAGTTATTTGGCAGAGACTGATAGACTACCAGTGTATTTCAGGAATTTTCAAAGTATTAACCCTCAACTCATTCAGTGTTAAGCCTCTTATCACTGACAACTCGTGAAAGAACAGACAGCTATATGATAAAGTTTAATGCATTTCCTGGAGCCTATTCTAAATTTGTATCGCTCTGCGTGTTTATAACACAATCCTTAATATATAGCAACTCGTTTTGAATTACCGCTGGATGTTCTTTTACGTTCTGTAACATCCGAGAATCGGACATCTGCAATCACATTTTGAATAATACAATAAAATACTTCATGTTTTATTGGAAAGTTCTATATTTTGAATATATGTGAATGTGAGTGTAGCAGAACAAATGGGACACTACTACAACCTGATGAGGATTGACTAAATATGGCTTTTGATTATGTTAATATTAAATCCTTTCTGTATATTTTCTAAATTTAGTAGATAAGACATTCCAATGTATGCCTACCATACAAGTGCGTTGTCAGTATTTTACATCTATTTGTAAAGAGTAAACATTGACATGTGGTTTTAGGCCCTAATGATAACTTGTCATGAAAGGGTCGGAGAGAGTCTTCTATTACCGAATGATATAAAAAGCCCAACAACACAAGGCATGCTGTAATAAATAAAGTTTTTTAATACCTTTGTGGTTTTGTCAATACTTTATGTTATCGTCAATAGACTTTCTATTCAGTAAACGGGTTAAATTACAAAATGTGTTCAATGGTCGCGGATGGAAATCCATCACTTTCACTTTACTCAATAACTAAAGAAATTGCGAAGTCTTTAACACTGCAATGCTTTGGTCGTGGTGATTTTAACTGAGGCATTTGACACCACTTAAACATATTTACATAAAAGACATATAATGCCAATAAAAGATCAAAGAACTTTAATGTCAACATATCCATTACCCTGTCTGGCTGTTTTACATCAGTAACGTATCCTGATTATATTACAAAAATCAACAAATCGTAAAACATATTTAATATTGTCATGATATGGATTCATCTTGAGAAAGCTTATGTTTATCGCCACAAAAAGTAACGTGACAGGTGGATAATATCTTTACCAACTTATATAGCTTGGTAAAAAACTAAAACAAACAAAGAACAAAAATATAATACCAACATGTGAACATGATCTTAATCCAAATTTAGATTCAGTAAAGCTGAGGTGAATATTAACAAAAGAATGCTTTAAACGGATATTCCTGACAAATAACAATGAGAATATTACCATGTGTTCAGAAAGAGTAAGCGTCTTTTGCCTCACCGACAACACTCCCCATGATAAACCTGTTAAACCAAAAAGATATTGGAAAGAGGCAGCACTGACAGTAATTACTGATCGTAGGCAGCACTGACAGTAATTACTGATCGAAGACAGCACTGACAGTAATTACTGATCGTAGGCAGCACTGACAGTAATTACTGATCGTAGGCAGCACTGACAGTAATTACTGATCGTAGGCAGCACTGACAGTAACTACTGATCGTAGGCAGCACTGACAGTAACTACTGATCGTAGGCAGCACTGACAGTAATTACTGATCGAAGGCAGCACTGACAGTAATTACTGACAGTAGTCAGAACTGATAGTAGTTATTAACATTAGGTATAGACATAAGGTAAAAACATTAGTTATTACTGACCGTAGATAGAGCTGATAGTGACAACCAGCAGAACTGATAATGCTTACTTACAACCAGCAGAATTGATAGTAATTACTGACAACCAGCAGAACTGATAGTAATTACTGACAACCAGCAGAACTGATAGTAATTACTGACAACCAGCAGAATTGATAGTAATTACTGACAACCAGCAGAATTGATAGTAATTACTGACAACCAGTATACCTGATAGTGATTACTGACAACCAGCAGAACTGATAGCAATTACTGACAACTAGTTTTAACTTGCCAAACGTTTTAGTTAATACGTTGTAGGAAATCAATCAACTCATTTTGCCAATGCATAAATATATTGATACGGATGCCAGTCTCTGATTTCGTTTTTAACATCTGATTACACACAATTTAGACGGCTTGAAAATGAGATAAACTAAAACCGAAATCTGCCTTCTCATTCCCGTAGTTTTGTGCAGACCAAATGATAGAGAAGCTTAAACTGAAGTTCTACTTTTCTAAAGAAGATACTATTAAAACGTTTGAATAGATTTTAAATGTTTTAAGTATAAACCATTCATGTAGGAACACTGACGAAAATAGGAACCATGATACCTGAATTTCTTTGATTTCCTAAGGGCTCTTCATTGTCCCGGAAAATCTTGATGCAAAGCCAAAAATTGATTTTACGCCTGAACAGGTTGGTTACACTCGACGTCATTCCAACATGACAGATACACATTAAGATAACACACTAGTATTCGTATTTCAAGTGCATTACACATTTCTTACGTAATTGAAGGATTTTATAATAATTAGAGTAATTATATCAAACATATATCTTATAAAAGTATCGCTGATATCAATGTTCATGTCTGCATGTGTCGCTTACTGGCCTCCACCAACAACGTCTAACCGGAAGCCTTTCTTCATAAATATTAATTTAACGACATAATTAACTTTTAAATGTAAACGGTTTTGCGTACTTAATCCGTACATTTGATCGGAAATCGCTACCATCGTACTAATGATTGTAATCAAAACATCTTTACTGACAATAGTTCATGGTAACGTCAAGAAGTAACACTGAACACGGTCGTACATGAGAGCGGTAATCCTAATGTAACACGCCTGGTTATGTTGTATAACACTTTGTCGGAAGCGCTATTTTAAATGTTATTAACCACAGTGTACCAAAACACTTTGTGCGCACATCTTGCAAACATCGTGCGGATGACGTCCGCACACACGCACTAAATAGTATCTAGCACATAACTGTGCGAGAGGATCGTACATTTTGTGCGATTTTTTAAAAGTGGTTGGTTAATATTACGGATTGAAAATTCAATGGAAAACTCGTGTAGTTATTCCTAAAAAGCAATCAAAGACGTATTAAATCTGATTGGTGATTATTGTCATTTTTAATTCGACAAATAACACTGAACGCTGTATCAACTTGTCTTCAATCGCATAGTTTTACACCTCAGCGTGTGGTGAGTGGTGTGCCTCGGCCAAAAAATGCCTGTATACTGATGCATACGTGACAGGTTAAACGGCGGATCTCTTTGTTATAGATTAAGCCTAATTTTTTCCTATAACTGGAAAATAGAATAATTTCTTAATTATCTATATTGCGTAAACGTATATTTGATAATTGATAAACCTTCAGATTTTATCTATACTTCCAACATCAAATATTCACATTTCATGCAAATGTTTTTATGTAACACTTTATATGAGAGTATGTTTATTTTGATGATTGTAACCTATTCGTATCAATATGAGTAACCCATTCTTTTAAACTTTTTTTTTCAGATTCCTAAGATGCCCAGAGATTGTTTGGATGTTTTGGATGTATTGCCTCACTGGAATGTAATATTGAATTCTGCCGAAGCAATATATGTCTCCATGTAGAGTGGATTATAAGTGCGTAGTGTCCTCATCATATAATATTAATGTGATTACGATCTTATAGGTCCCCATAGGATTGCAGTAGACCTGGCCTTGGTGACATATTACATTACAGTTAGAGGTAACACGCCATTTGATTGGTACATCTGACATAGTTGTAGCTAATGTCCTGAAAGCAGGCGTCAATATACCCACGCATGCAGTGTGCGTGACCATTGCACTTAGTACTCGGTGCACCAATATTAAACGATGTTGAAAACAAAGCGACCTGTTCAGGAGCACGAGTCTGGAATCGGAATAAAGTTAGACTACAGCGACACCTACTTTGAGAATGAGATCCTTGATAGCGAGTTGGAGAGCAAGCTTGCTCAGATCGGCAGAGAGCGCTACCGTGTCAGCGTGGAGCGGGCCGAAACTCTTAAAGAAGCGCGAAAGGTTGCGGAGAACATGCAACAACTAAGTGATGCTATTAAAAAAGGCGCGATCGGAGACAGCGTGAGTATATTCACCGGAGGAAAGGAATGTAGGCATGTTGAAGACAAATCGAGTGAGAAAAGTGCTGACACAAGTATGGATAATCTGTGCAACGATGTGAATCGGATTAATACTAACAACAATCATCAGGATTCGGACACAGTAAGTGAAGCGAAAGGTAGTGATACCGACTCCGACAAACCACGACGAACTATGAATACACTTACAATGTTCGCATTGTCAATGCAGAAATTTGCATCGCCCATTAGACAGCGCCTTCCGATACAAACCCCCGCGGACACAAGAACGAAACAGGAGACCACACCCGCGCGGTCTTCACATCCACAAAAACGACAAGCTCGCTCAGCCTTTGCACGTGCACCAGGTCAACGAGCGTTTTCGCGCCTGGATCGGCGACCTAAATCTCAAAGACCTGTCACGTTTCGACAGCGAAGGGTCAAAGACGGAGAAGTGCTCGAGGCTTCGGATATCATGCCAGTTATGGTTTATGAGATAAATTTACATCAACGAAAGCAAACGAGATCTCGAAGGGAACTACAAGAAATGAGCAAGATGGAGCAAAAGGAACTTAATTTGAAAATAGACCGACAAGAAGAAAGAAAGCAAAAACTATTCAATTGGGCAAAAGGTGGTGATGAATTAGAAGAAAGGATTAAAAGTTTTGTGAAAAATTGTGAGGAATTTAACAGAAAAAGACAACCTCATGAAATAGGATTTGATTCTCCTCGGAGATCGAAAACTGTTATGTATTAGATATGATATAATAAAAGCACAGCTATCTGAGTACCACATTTCCTTGGCACGTGTCAGCGATTTCCAAAATACGAATTGTGAACAAGTGTTTTATATCCTGACATTCAATAACACCAGTTGATACATACCTTGGTGTTACGTTACAAAACCATTTTAAATTCTATTGAGGATGCTAATTACTTTGTGATCGGTACAATGTACCTGGGACAAAGAGGTTCAAAGTGATGGACAGTATAAGATGTGCGTATGAACCGCCCAGCTGCCATATACAAAACATGTTTATTTCAATATCTTGTCGTCAGCTATGCAGATTTGCATTTTTTTATATTTTGATGATATCTTGTAAAGTGTATCATTCCTTACTACTGGTTTGTTTTGTTTGTTCTTTTGTTTCTATTATTTTTTTTTTGTTTTGTTTTGGAGGGGGGGGGGGGGGTCTGATAAGTAGTAACCACATAGCTCGGGATTGCACTTTGATTTATACTCACTTAACTATTCTGTCCGTTGAGTACTTTGCTTTAAAATATAGTAAATTGAAAAAGTTGTTAATAAAAAGTTTGGCAGGAACAAAACAGTTATCAAAGCTTATATCGTAATAATTATACAGACAACGTATTTATGCAGCATTTTCGCTCCAAAGTTCTCTTAAGTATTCACCATAATTGTATGCTTTCGCTATCAGTCCTTTTTGCCACAAAATGTAGAATCATTTTGTAGTAAGAGGACGGGCAGATCACGTTATAGACTGCATCGACAGAGCCACAAGATCAAATAGATAAATAGAAAATAAACGCAAAGTTGTTTTTTTAATGTACTACATTTTGTATCTGTACAAATGAAACAAGCTTTATCGTTAGTGCGTCCATGCATGACATGTTTTTAAAATCGATGATAAACAGCTGGACCTGAAACTATTAAATATTTACGGCTACAAATTAACTTTCATGATAACATGATTTGATTTATACCCTTCGTCTCCGAGGCATATTCCATGCATAAATTTTAATTTCCCCTCATTATTTCAGTGTAGCTTTCTCTGTCGTAGCATTTCTTCGTTTTGCCGAATTGGATAAACTCAGCATGAATGAGGGCTGATAAAGACCGGATTAGTTGTTACTTTTATATAGTTCTTATTCTTTGTGATATTGTGAGATTGATGTATTCAATTTTCGGTGATTTGGCTGCTACAATGTACTACACCTGCTCTCTATGTAAGGACATTTAAACATTTTGAGTTTAACTTATTCTTCAAGGTACAAAAGACGCTTTTCCTTTTGAAACACCTAATTCTGCTCCCATTTACAGTTTAAGATTCTTTGTGTACAACTTATCCGTTCGATTTATCAAATTTTCCCCAATCGACATACTTTAGGTTTCAGCTACCAATTTTGTCCCTAAGTGATTTTTTTTTAAAACCGACGCTTCCTTTCTTGTGGCGGTTTCCTTCCTCGTGATGTGTAGAAAGGGTTCAGTCTGTGCTGTCGCTTGCCTTGTACAAGACACTTTACCCTAATTTAGCTGAATGACGTGCGACGGGCATCTTGTTTGTTATTCAGTGAAGTAGCTACCGTTTACTACAAGGAGACCTTTGTTGTTAACGTGGCGGTAAATCCAGCATACCAACAAATATTCATCAATTAAAAATTACAGATTAATATCGTATGATTGTGACGGGAAACAAACTAGAATCTCATCTACATACAATGGCAAATACAAGTTCCTATCTGGAAACGCATGACTGTATTATACAAAATAGTTTAAATGTTTATAATAATGTGTTTACCGTTTGAATTGGCTTTGATTGATTTTTTTATAGGTGACGGCAGGTAATCATTCCAATATGATCAAGAAAATAATTTACCAAATTGGTATTAAAACTTTTCATTCCACTACCGAGCTAATTAAAATCGCCAATTTTGCCAGTTAATGAAATGATTCATTGTTTATCAATACATTATTGATTTTTATCAAGTTAATGTTTATTTACAATAAAAGAAGTGACAAAAAATTAGATAGATAGAAAAAACATTAGGTTTTTCCCTACATGTATACAACGTTTTACAAACTTGTTATATCCTATATTCCTGTAATTTCTGTGTAAAGCCTCTAAATTGTATTTGTTGTTCTCTTAAGTAAGTTAACTCTAATGGAATTCGTGCATTATTTATTGTTTCTTATTCTTTCGATTTCAAAGGTATTCTACATCAAATGGGCTTCTGTTATCACTGAAATACACGGGTCATCTGATAATTCCTCCTAATTGCTAGCGACATGTGCAAAATAAAATTTGAAATCTGTTATCACATCTGTTGCTAATATGTAAGTGTGACCATCTTTGACACACTCTCTCTTCAGTTCTAAACTTTTCAATGTATAACACACAACTGGGACCGGAGTTAACAGCTTGGGTGATGTAGATCACGTTGGTAGCTCATAAACATCGCAGTAAACAAAACAACTTACGCACTAATAATGCACTGAAATTCGGGATTGTCAGTACAATAAGGTGCTCGTGATAAGTCTTATAATCATGAAAATGTAAGAATATTTGATAATCTCAGACTCCTGATGAGACACCTGTAGCTTACGTTCTATATTAACTCGAGTATTACTTGGTACACCATAACCTGTTCAATACAATCGCTGGAGTTATTTCCCTTAGAACAGATGTTAGATTTTCGCCCATAACAAATATTAATGTATTCTTGTCAATCTGATACAAACTTCCACTTTTTGATTGGTTTCTGATGTCTGAGGTTTAAATCAATTCATCGTATATCTTTAAGTTATTTGTACACATGATATAAAGTTGACTCTTTGTAAAATAAAGAAGTATAGTATAGATAAGATTCCAGTACCATAAGCAATATATCTCAATATTTAGAATACGAATGAACAAAAATGTCCTTAAGTAGAAATAATGACTGCGAGTTTATTACTGTAGATACAAATAGGAAAACAGTTCGAAAAATGTTCGGTCCGACCTAAATAAATCGTATATGTATATAACATTGACATTATTTTCATATATTAACATATTAACATTAAAAGCTTATTTGTTAATCTAACATTAAATGTAGTTTGCAGAACGATTTCTAAGATACACAAGTGAATAGCAAAATTTCAATAGAAATTTTACATTAGATAAAGTAAACGGATGATGAATTATACTGCAATACATAGCTTTTTCAATTTTCATGACTGTGTCAGTGATTCTAAGGACCGAAATTTTAAACCCAAGGAAGTAATTCTAAAGTGAGCGAAAAAATGTCCAAATCTAGATAAGGAGTTGCACGAACAAGCAGACTTCCTGATGTTGAAATAACAGAGGTAGACTCCTGAATTGTCAAACTGAATATCAGACACATTGTCCATTAATTCGATGGTTCCATCACAGAAATCATTATGTGCGAAAATGATGAAATGGTAGCTACATTTACCGTACATTACACTTCCACAACAAAAAACAGTACACTAGAATGTGAACGAGGTGCTCTGTAACGAGATAGGTAATGATATGCGTACAATGTAGCTCTTACAATCATACTTACAAAGTTTGATGATAGTCAAATGTATTATTGAATTTTTAATATTGTACAAAATACAGACAAATAAAAAAAAAACTAGAGTTAATCATAGAAAGGACAAATAATGCATTAAACATCATCATACAGCTGGGTTGTCCCTTTTATACTCGTCAGTGATAATAAAGGCCTAAATTTAGTTTAAACTTTATTTTATTTGCAAAATACAATCATGGTATAAAGCTTAATATGCAAAAGGATCCAGTAAAAAGTTTTGTAAAAACTTATGTAAACTGTTTCCTAAAAAATCAACCAGCTGGCAGCAAGATCTAGTCTGGCTTTGAAAATGAAGGGAACAGAGAGAAATGAGATTAGAGAAGAGCAAAAGGACTGTTGGCGGCATGATTAAACAGTGACCTTGGTACGCGTTTGCGTATAGTGTTAATATCTATAGTAATTGAACACATTGGATAATTACAAAAGCATATCGAATATAAACAAGCATATGCACAGACTCTCTGTTAACGATTTTAAAACGCTTAGTTTGAAGGATAAATGACTGGACCCTTTGAAAGATTGCTTTATTTTCAACAACAGTTAGTGAGGGGTGACCAAAGAGAAGAGTCTGTAGTGGTTCAATGTCAGGTGGATTTCCAAGATGACGGACACGTAGATTAACAAAATTAGGACATGATAACAGAAAATGTTCAGTTGTTTCGTTTGCTCCTTTACAATCGCATACCGGACTATTAACTAAGTTCCTTTTATGTAAGTGAGCCTTAAGAGAGGTACACTGCATTCTTAATCGGGAATGATGAATTTGACCTAATCTACTACCGTAGTTGTAATACTCGGGAACATCAATAATTTTGCTGTTTAGGTGTTTTTTGAGGTTACGAATAGGATTGTTTTTAACATCGGAAGGGAGAGAATTCCAAAGGTTAACAGCAGAAGGAAGAAAAGAATTCATATAAAGGTTAGTTCTACAATTTGGCGGTAAAACGTTATCTGCATCTCTAGTATTGTGGCGGTGTATGTCAGAATGACGTACAGGAAGTAAATCGGTTAAGTAGGAAGGGGCTGCACCGTGCACTATTTTGTGGAACTGGATTATTTTGTTATTTTTCCTTCGAAAAGAAAGGCTTACCCAACCAGTTTCTTTGTATAAATTATCAATGTTAGTAAGTTTATTTCCCCCAGTAACCATCCTAGCAGCTTCTAATTGAATATTTTCTAGCATTTTAGACTGATTATCTGTTAAGTTAGCCCATACTATGTTAGCATATTCTAGAACAGGTCTAATAAAGGAAAATTACAACGTTTGTAGTGTTTTTCTGTCTATTTTAAACTTTAACGATCTTAGCATTCGCAGTTTAGTATTAGCTTTACTCAATATAGATTATATATGTTTACCCCAGCCACCGTCTTCAGATAGAAAGACCCCAAGATGTTTGTGACAAGTGACTTGAAGCAAGG